CCACGCTTTCAATGCAGTACAAACAAAACCAGACATGGATACAATTCAGTCGAAATTTTTGGGGTGACACTTGAATTTTTGGTACATTAAAAGAGGTGCCCTTTCAAAAAAGGTATCTTTATTAGGCTCGAATATTGTCATAAATTTTACCCAACAGTATTCAATTTATTGTTCCAATTGTTTTTGACAAAATCACACTATTATGCGTAAAATATTGCGGGTATTAAATAAAAGCTATAGTTGTAATATATTCTCAGCATATTAAAGGTGATGATGAAGTGCTTACCCTGGTAACGCAATGGGAAGTGAAATAGTATGGTCAAATAAATTTGTTTTGTGTTATTTAGTGGAACTAGTATTTTTATTTCTAGACGTTATTGGTTTTTTATTACATTGTAACTAACTGATTGTATTTTATTGTAACTTTAAGAGATCCCAAAGTATATCTTACATTTCGAAACACTATGTAACTTTTTTATACATAAATCTCGTTATATTAGTAATATTTTTAAAATATATACTGTGCTTTGTTGAATTTATAGTAATTAAAAATATTCCGAAATAAAATATTAAGCAATTCTCCTTATTGTAATTTTTAACACGTTAAGCACCATTGGGGGCTCGCCGCTCGTGCCGGCGTGCGCTAGCGCGCGCGCTGGCTTTAACTCTTAACAAAGAAGTCCACGGAGAACCTAACGGGTTACCGGGGCTCCGGCTCGAAGTAGGAACGGGATGGTTTTTAGTCAGTAAGAGTCTGACACTCCCTCCCGCCTCACCCAGGCGGGAGAAATCATTCGATGATTTTTCCCACCTAAAAAAAATAATAAAAAAGCACCATTGGGGGCTCTAACGACCGGCGATAGCAATGGATTAACGTCGACAATTTTCAATCAGCAGTTTGATTGCTAAATAAAAAAAATACTGAACAAAACAACGAGACTCATTTAAAAAGAAACAACATCATAATAACCAAAGTATAAGAAAAACTTCATGTATTGCTCAACAATCCTCTATAGTCCATCCGAAATATTTTTCCTTACAAAAAAGAACAAATATTGTGTGTAAATACAACTCTGTTTGTTGAAGGAGATCGGTTTATCATGTTCCTTTGAAGTGATAAAACTCTTTTTGTCTCATATTTTTGGGTCACTGTTTTTATTTTTTCCTTTAGTAAAAATTTGGGTGAACAAAATCTGTTTTTGTTATCTAGGCTAGGAAGGGTCAGTTTTTTGTATTGTATTTAAGTAGGCCGTCTAGTATATTTAGGTCACAGCTGACTTGGATAGTTTTTCGATTTTGCGGTTCAGAAAATTACCCTTTCTATATATGTTGAGTTTATTACTAAAAGTTTAGACATCGTACACACGTCCGAACTCATATGGAATTATCCATCTATGCTATTGCAAAAAACTAGGTAGTAGTGCCTTTTGGGTACAGTAACCTCCAAGAATACATGGCTGAGAGAAATATTGTTATCATCAAGGACTTACTCTAAATGAGAGGTTTTCAATCCGTCACCAGAGATTGCAGTTTAAAAACTTCAAATTTATCAAAAAATTTATGCAATTCCTTAGTCGCCTCTTACGCCATGTTACGCGCAGGAAGAGAGCCTAGGACAAGATGTCCCTCTGGTATCACCACTCGGCTTATAGAGTAAAATTACATACTTGAAAAAAAAAATAAGAATCTTCAATTTAGAACTACATCTAGATTGACCTACTTAATAACTTTATATAAAAACTAGCTGTTGTTATTTTGTTTTAATTTTCTAAAATGAAAATAGCCTATGTTACTCTTTAGTACACACACCAGCTACCTGCTAAAAAAAACCCGTCAAAATTGGTCCAGCTATTTCAGAAATAAGGCAGTACAAACAGACAGAAAGACAGACAGACAGACAGTATTTACAGATTTTTTTTAATTTAGTATCGTATGTATATTCATATGCATTTAGTAAAAATCTGTTATTTCAATAATACAAACAGAAACTCTAACTTTCTTTATCTGTACAGATGACGACCTTTGTCTAACCCAAAATATTAGTCCTACATTTGATATCTAAGTTACTAAACTGAGATACATACATTTGAAACATAATATATGAAGTGGATTAAGTAGTAACTTGTCTCGCATATGGCTTGGCACTTAACTTGAACAAACTTGAACTGCAAATGTCTAAAGTACTTCAAACAAGTGCACTTACATTCGGTTATTAAGTTTCTTCTCTTATTTCTACATTTATTTGCTTCACTCAAACATTGTGAAGGCTTTTGTTTTTGTGGTTTTGATAGACTTTTTGTTGAACTGATTTTAGTTTTGATTAATTCGTAGGTACGTTTAGCTAGCATTAAACTATGAGCACTGTTATTTCTAGATAAAACATAATGTTACAAAACATCACGCCTTTTATCACCGAAGGGGTAGGCAGAGATGTACAGAGGCAACATGTTGAGGTCAATTCAAAACATTTGGAAAAAATGAATAAAATACATGACATAACATCACGCCTTTTATCCCAGGGGTAGGCAGAGGTGCACATTATGCCACTGTACAATGTAACACCCACTTTTCAGTCCCATGTAATAAGGGGTGAGACTATTGCCATATACCGGGCACATTTTCAGACTCCGTGCTACTACTCTATTTTTTTTAAACCCAGCTATATTTTGCCCGACCCGGGAATTGAGCCCGAGATCCCCTGCCCGGCAGTCACACTTGCGATCACTCGGCCAACGAGGCAGTTCAATTAAAACTCTGTACAATTAAAGCGTTCTTGTTTGGTTTTTGGAATTTACCTATAAATTAGTATTTTAATGAAGTTAACGGAGATTTTTCGTAATGTAAGCACCTACACATATTTTAGTAAATAATATTGATAAATATTTTTATTTTTTGTGTTAGGTTGTACTTTTCCATTTCAGATAGCATTTCGATACCGGTAGTAGCACGGCGTCTAGAATTGTGCCCGGTATATGGCAATAGGCTCACCCCTTATTACATGGGACTTCATAATAGTTAAAAGTGGGTGTTGCATTTTACAGTAGCATTAACCCTTTGCGTACCGTCATTATAGACACAATTAAAGAACAATAGGTCGCGATAACCGGTGTCCTCGCGGTGTTTGACAGTTTAAGTTCTGTAATGTGCTCCAATGCCTACCCCTTCGCGGACAAAAGGTAATGTTAAGTTATGTAACATTTTGATGTTTGATACAAAACATTTTACCAAGAAGACTAAAATTTTTCATAAACCAAGTTCTAATTTTAAGACTCTAAAACATAAAACTAAAAACTAACATAAAACCTATCTCCGACAACAAACTCCTCCCTACAAACAAAAGACAAAGTCAACTATTTTTATAAGAAACTAATTCACCGTTCGCTCGACTATAAATCCCATCGTCGCGTCGCGCTGAGCTGCTGTTGACACAAACAAATGCATATCGCTGAGCGTCCCGACAAGAATGCGGTGGTTCTCATTTTCCTGAACAAACAGACGATGCGCGTTGATATGAAGGTATAATTAATGAAATAGTTTTCTGATGGTGACTTCAGTGAGTTTAGTTTTATAGGCTGGTATTTAATTTAGTAATGAGCTTTCATTTAAAGAGGATTGAGTCTTAATATTATGTTTGTGAGGTAGACTTTTATTTATTTAAAACAAGGACTAATCCCTTTTTAATTCAGAGTAAAATTTTAAAAAATACTACGTATAATTGTGGTCATAAAAATGTAGAATAAGTAACTACTGTGAATAATGAATGCTAATAACCACAACCCGATGAAATCAACGCAGAACAATTTCAAATTAATTTACCAAATAACTCGATCAAATATTTATACAAGTAATCGCGTGCTTCCACACAATTTGAAAGTACTACTTCGATAATTATACATAGTTCAAATGTTATTGGAATACCAAAAATAAAACAAAGCACGAATTACGTGCAATAAAGCATTAAACGCGTAACTTGTACTAGCACTTTACAGCCGAATAATGCACGCCATTGTTCCTTAAATTTAAACTTTGCTTATGCAAATTACGTAGCTCCATTGAGGCTCAACAATAGAAACTTGCAGAGTACATATTCTGTACGGATATCCGAGCGTGAACAATTTAAATAGGCTGAACGGCGACGTTCCACTGCCGTCAGCTTTTGGCGCGAAATGGAGCGTTTGACAGCTGTCATTTTAGTACCATAATGGCTTCATCCCTGTTACGGTCATATACATGTTTTAGCAAATAATTTACAATGAACAACTTAATCCTTTTATGTTGGGAAGCTTTGATGTATTTTGGTTGAATGATTAATAAATTAAATCTGTACAAAGAGGTAAGTAGGTATAGTTAATTAATATGGTTATTTCAGTTACGCTAGAGTTAATCTGGTAGATATTTAACACTAAACAGTTTTATTTACATAACAAAAACCATTAACTAGAAACTTTTACTTCCATAAAACTGCAGCGTTATCCTCTAGAAATGCATTAAACGGAAACATTGTATAAGCAAACAGCTTTTCATATTACACCTACAAACATCACGAAGAAAGCAAAACGGTTCTCTAAAACAAAATAAAGGTAATTCCAAACTTCCTTTTTCTATTCATGAAGCAATTTAAAATATCTCCGCCATTATACAACTGTTTATGAATACCGCGAAATATTTAAACGGCTCACTCACGAATGTACACAAAAATTTCGTGTTTCTGTTGAACATTTTTCACTGAAATACTGTTAATGCTGTGACGGTCTATGGTCGGCAAAAAGTTTGTATATTTCTTTTTTTTATTATTTTGGCCAGTTCTTGTATTGTTGTGTGCGCAAATTGTGCGATTTGTACGTAAGAATATAATTTTTTTTTTTATTAAACTGCACTGGCTTTAATGAGGCGCTCATGAGTCATCAACCAGTCTTGTTGATTGTGTGATCTCCAACGCAGATACGATAAAAATCAGGTTTTCCAAATTAGTACATATTTATACTAGAACAGAGTTGATATCATCGAAATTGTACTGATATGGTGGCGACAGGTTTAGTGGTAGTTGCCATCTAAAATAATAGTTGTAAACGGGATATGGCGGTAATATTATTTCCTTATCGGAAAAAAAACTAAATATTTTTCGGCACAAAACAAAGTTTTACAAAACAATTTATTTACACAAAGCGATAACTCGTCGTGTGCGGAATTAGGAGCTGTCAGGCGCAATGCATGGCACAGTGCAGATAATAGCCTAGTTTTTACTTTGCCCCTACCAGTAAAACAATATATAATTACTTTATTTACAAAGGATAATGAATACTCTGTAACTATGTTGTTTACTGTATAAAAACACATTCTCTTTTGAAAATCGTTATTGTTTGAGGCTAGTGTAATTAACTTTCATTTCGGTTGCAATGCGCTAGGCTGGAGTTACTATGTACTGAATGCATTTTATAAGAGATACTAAGATTTCTCCTATGTTGCAGGTGCGTTTACAAACATATAAGTTCACATACACATGAGACTCAGACCCGGAACAACAATCTGTGGATCATACAAAGAGTTGTTGACGGCAACTGACAGTCGTGGAACGAGTTGCCCAATCACCGCGCCAACCGTGCAGTCTATTTCCTCTTATACTGTTATATACAAACGCTATTTACATGAATAAGTTGCTTTAACTTTTATATCAAGGCAAGTATTCCATGAAGGGTTTATCACATTGGTCTATAAACCACTAGTTGATTAAAAATCACGGGTAAAATCAAATCTATACTCGCATGAAAATATTGAGAAAAGCTCTACTAGTTTCGAACCACAGTAGGGTTCTTACTCGTTTTAGTTCCTAATTTAATATATTTTACGATAGTTATTATAAAAACACTAGTTGATTATAATCCCTTATTAGATCTGTTATTATAACTTTTTTACTAATCAGTTGACACCGACAAACAAATAGTGAGTTTTTAAAGTCAATAAAATAAGTACCTGATATTTGGACCCATATTTCAACTTCATAATAGTCTATAACTCCGTAGAATAATAGAGATTCCATAATTGAAAAAAATATATGAAAACCCTTATAGCATGACCGAATCATACATTTATCTTTATATATATAATTCTTCTGTGAGTGTGTAGGTCACTGAACTTCTCTCAAACGACTGGACCGATTTTGATGAAATTTTTTGCGTGTGTTCAAGGGGATCTGGGAATGGTTAAGATTCACAAATCAGCCCGGCAGATGGCACTGCAGTCGATGCTTAGGTTATTTATCCTAAACAGCTGAACTAATTTGAACGAATTTTTATTTATACATTCAAGTGGATATGCAGGAAAACGTCTGTTGGGTCCGCTAGTTTATTTATAAAATTGCAATGATAGACATTTTCTGAACGTTAAAAATTCGCATTTTCATTAGGGTTGCGATACATTTAGGCAGTTTAGAATTACTAGGAACATAGTCAACATAGTCGTAGTTGCAGGTCAGAATTCTCATTATTCTGTTGTACACAGCAATGTGTTTGTGAAGGCTGCATTATATTTTATTATTTATGAGGTCCACAGAGGAAACAACTACGTTTAATTAGTAGAGGTCACAAACTGTACAACTGTAGTTTTGTGTTATTGAAGTTTCCTTAGTTTTAAAGCATACACCAACTAAATAGCATGAACTATGTATATTTGAATTCATGATGCCGAGTATTGTGAGTTGTATTGATGAAAATAATATTTTCAACATGTTATTTACATTTTGACTGCCTCGTTGGCCGAGTGGTCGCAAGTGCGAGTACCGGGCAAGGAGTCTCGGGTTCGATTCCCGGATCGGGCTAATTTATTTTTGGGTTTTTTTAAGTTATTAGTAGTAGCACGAAGTCTGGAATTGTGCCCGGTATATGGCAATAGGCTCAATCCCTATTAAATAGGACTCATAACATAAATAGTGAATAGTAAGTGTTACATTGTACAGTGGCATTAAGTGCTGTAATGTGTAACTCTGGATACCCCTTAGGGAATAAAAGGAGTGTTATATTATGTTATTTACATTCCCATCTAGTCATTCTCAGTATAGAACCTGAAATACATAGTACCGATAATCGATATATAGAAACAAAACCAATAATCTCCTGTTACTTACAGAAACAGAATTATTATTATTTATTTTTGAAGTTTTGGCCTTGTACATAGGTTTTCCTGTTTTCAATTAACAATATTTAGTGATAAGACATTATACATTTAATAGTTCTAATAATTGGCCTTATCAACTGACAAGGAAGTATATAACAAAGAAACACCACGTGGAAGACCAATAATGGTAATTAATTTATGGACTTAGTATTTCTTCAATTGAAATTTGCTCCGTCTGAAACAAGAAGACCAAATTATTTGTCAATAATTCCTATAGGAAAATTTGTTAATATATCATGTCATAAGCCCTTGACGGATGTGCCGCAGAGAACGTAAAAGGTTACTGGGGCTCCGGCTCGAAATGCAGGTGTAGGATTTGTTGGCTTTTAGTCAGAAAGAGTCTGACAGTCCCTCCCGCCTTACCCAGACGAGAGAGTCATTTTTCTCAACAAGAATGGACTATGAAGAAATATAACACAAACTTTTGCTTATACATTTCATAATGAGCCAGTTTGTTGCCTGGCCAAAATTATTTCTGGGTACAATAATTAACCCGATATTTTATCAGATCTTAACTTTAAGGTTTCTTCAAAGTTTAAAAATCATCTAAATTGTAATGCATTTATTACTAATGGGCCATAATAGTCAGTGTCAGTGTGACCAACTTTATCATATTTTTCAAAATAACTTTACCTAAATACTTACCACATTGTTCTTTGGGCACACATTTTCCTTCAGAGTTCCTCAGATTTCCATTATCACACAAGCACGCAGGGCTATAGCAGCTTGGAAGAAGAGATGGACAAGCCGGTAAATTTACCAAATGGTCACACTTTTGGAAACACTCCGCCTGACTACACTTGATGTAGTATTCACCTTCGGGACACTCTGAAATGAACAATGTATTATATTTTTTCTTTCATTTTTAACAAAAATAATAAAAAAACCTGAAAACATGGAAAATTACTGATTTATATTTTTCACTTAAAACACCAAAAAAATATAATTATTTTGCAAGCCATTTAAGACATGAAATTAAGCAGAAGTTAAACACTGTAAGAAGAACATACCTACAGCTATTAACATACTTATTAGAAAATCTATTCACATAAAATAGTACAATATCCTACTAATTACATCGATTCCAGTACGTCATCCAGTTCTTAAGATCAAAGATACACAAACGCATTCTAAAATATCAATAATGGCAATATTAATAAAAATCCTTCTCCGTGTGAGAAAGTATTTTCACAGTGCGGCAATGATGATGATAATGATGATATTTAAAAAAACTCACCCAAAGGTTTCTCATCAGCTGGAGCAGATGACACCATAGTCAGTACTGCTACCAACAAACAAATAGATAACATAGAAGACGCCATGTCATACACAACGTTAGATGAAGATATCTATCTACCTAATGATAAAGCAAAGACGTCAGTTTCTTTATTTATATCTACAAGAAGTTTGACTGGTTTGGTTGTTGTCTAATGACGTCTACGTGCGTTGTAAACATTAGAGCTCCTGCCTACCTACTGAGGGTTTTTTATAGATCCTTTTTTAAGATCCGTGTTGCTTAGTTCCGCTGGCGGGGACTCACTGTCTTTAACAGTAGCATGGAATAAATCTGATATGCGTGGGCTAGTTGTTCTTACGTATTATGGTACTACTGCTAGTTATTAATATTATAATTTTGCAGTGGATAATAGAATGCTAGTGGTAGTCACAAGCATTGTTATTTAGGTTACAACAAGAATTCATCCCTGGATCCGTAAATGTAATTATTGTTATGGTTTTGAATCTTAGTTACATCGTGAGGATGAGTCTTAAGTTCTTGGTTTATCCCATTTATAAATTTACCCAATATTTTCTAACAATGAAGATATTGACACGTTTTAATATTAAAATATGAGTCTATACTCTATTACCTGCAACTACTGCAAGATAACGGTCGCAATCACTAATTCTAAAATTATTTGTAATATCTTGATGAAATAGACTGTTTTTGGAATAAGCTGGTAAATAAGCAGACGGATCACTTGTTGGTAAGAAATCGGCGTCGTCGCTCATGGAAATCCACAATACCAGAGCCATTACAAGCGCTTTACCGGCCTTATGAGGATTAGGAATTTGAGGATTGTTGGACATACAAGGATTAGAGAGATTGGGAATGGGGTAGGGGTAACCTTACTCCTACGACAAAACATAACGCCACCGTTGCTTCACGTCGATTTTCTGTGAGGTCGTGGTATCACTCCGGTCGAGCCAGCCCATTCATACCGAAACATGGCTCACAAGTTTTATTCATTAATCAACTGTCAACCACGCACAGGCCTATTACGGCCAGTGTACGTCAAGAGTCGTGGCTACTCATGTAACTAAGCTGCTTTGTAAAAAATCTTCTGACGTCGTTTGTTTTTATTTCATAGTATTTTTTAACTATTTACTTCATTAACTAGTCCATCGGTTTGTACATGTATACATATTTATTTTAAATATTGTAGCTGATGTGTACCTTCGTCTATCATTATCACTAAATAGCTAGCCTTACTCGCAAAATATGTTTATTTGTTGCAGTTCTATCTATTATTTCTACTGCTAGACCTGTTGGTATGTAGATTTTTATAATCTGAAACTTTATATTGTAGGTATGTGTATTAATATTAACAAGGTACCTATTAAAATACCGAAAATCAATATACTTAACCACAGATAACATACGTTCGAAATGCCTAATGATTTTTTCACCTATAATCAAATTACTATAATTTTGAAATATCAAATATACCTGTATAATAATTACCGCGCAGTGGTATTCAACCCAGGGGCAGATTCATAACTTAGGGCACCTCAACACCACATTTAGTTAATTTATGTTAACTCCTTTTAATCTTATTTGAAATTGACAATGAACTTCATAGTTGGTCTAGTGGTATGACTCTTACCCAAGCATACGGCGCGTCGCGTTCCGCGCGCGCCTCAAAGAGCCATCAGGCCACCACAGATAGGGCCCAATAGGGATGAATCCGTTTCGGCGCCGCGAACAACTTAACGGGTTACCAGGACTCCGGATCGAAGTGCAGTAGTAGAAATGGGGTGGTTTTTAGTCACTAAGAGTCTGCCTCCCGCCTCACCCAGGCGGGAGAAGTCATTCGATGATTTTCCCCCCTTAAAAAAAAGTGGTTTTGACTCTTGATAGACCATGCCGTTGCTCGGCAATTACACTTTCGTTCTCAAGGCCTATTAAGCGTAATTTTACTCAAGTTAACGATTAATAAATATGGGTACAAGAAAAATCAATTTATTAGCATAAAATTATTTATTACAAAAAATAACTAATTACAGCACTTAATAATCTTTCATATAATCTGGTACCTGAAACAAAAGCAAATAAAACATAAATACATGTAAATAAAAGAAGTTTTCTAGCAGATGGTAATAATAATAACCATGAGAAAACATAACACAACATCACGCCTTTTATTATGCGTAGGCAGAGGTGCACATTATGCCACTGTACAATGTAACACCCACTTTTCACTAGTCCCTTGTAATAGGGGGTGAGGGGGTTGACTGCACGGTTGGTGCGGTGGCTGGGCAACCGGCTGCCGTGCAACGTGTCGCGGGTTCGATTCCCGCACGGGACAACACTTTGTGTGATCCACAAATTGCTGTTTCGGGTCTGGGTGTCATTGTGTATGTGAAATTGTATGTTTGTAAACGCACCCACGACACAGGAGAAAATCCTAGTGTGGGGCAACATTTAATAAAAAAAAAAAAAAAATATTGCCATATACCAGGCACAATTCCAGACACCGTGCTACTACTGAGATTTTTTCAGAAATCCAATAATTCTTTGCTGAACCCTAGAATCGAACCCGAGACCCCTTGCCCGGTAGTCGCACTTGCGGCCACTCAGCCAAAGAGGCAGTAAACATGAGAAAAAAATCTAAATAAGTTATGTACCTTTAAGTCACAGTTATTCTGTAATATTATTATATTCTTCAATGTATATGAATGTAGAAAATTTTGTGATTTACCTTATATCTGAATATGGTACAATAAATGAATAAATTAAAACCTTTATTAGGGACTAAAAATAACATCAAACAATACATTTCATTTGTTTCAATTTTTTACTCGTATTTTGTAAGTGGCATAACGATCTTGTGATTTAAATGATAGGTTTATTTTTGGTATATTTTAAGTCAAATTTTCAAAAAATGTTTTATGCAAATAAAGAATTATTATTATTAAAAATATACTTCAGTGAAAGAATCATGAAAATAAACTACAAAAATTGTTTAATAACTAAAAAAAACTAACTACACTATACTATCAAAGTTCATTTCAATAATTTTTAAGAAACGAAAGTTTTACAGAGGACGTCAGTAAAATTAACTTATTTTTTTTCTAATGTGTCAACTATGGTACAATCGCGTTAATAACGCAGTAAGTCATCATGGCCCTGCCCCTAAACTGATTTTAAACTTTAACTTAATATTTTAAAATATAATTTGTTTCTGTGAATACACCTTTATCTTAGGATGCAAAATATCACTTACCTCAAAACCACAGTCAACTATACGCACACAGACTCCGGTTGAATTTCTTAGGTAACCATGGTTACAGACACAAGCAGGCTTATAGCACCCCGCTGCAATGGATGGGCAAGGTGGCATATTCCTTAAGTGCTCGCAAGTCTTTATACACACCGCCAATTGGCATTTGACGTAACGTTCATTTGCAGGACAATCTGTAAAATGAAATTATATTTTATAAGCTTTTATGACAATGATCCCTTCGTATCTAAATCTAATTCCATGTTATATAAAAAATAATATTAATTTTGGTACGCGAAAGATATGGAATGAAATAATTAATAATTACGTTCATACGTTCAAATTTGGGAGAAATAATATACTGTATCATCTGGGCAAAACATTATTTTTAAGGTTTTTCTTTTTCTTTGGTTGGATCGACAAAATATTTATAGAGACATCTAGCGTTGAGAATTTTAAACCAGCTCCCTAAACACTGGTTTGATAACTCCCTGCATAGATAACTACCATCTTAGAAGTGATAAAGTACATAGATATTTTATAAAAAAAATATTGGTAATCCGAAAACTCACCAAAAGGCGTTTCATCTTCAGATGCAGCTAAAGAAACAACAGTTAAAACTGCGATGAACAAAATTACAGACAAAATGTAGGACGCCATGGTATGAGCGACTTTAAACAAGGATATACTATAAATGATTGACGACGGTGTAAACATCATTATTAATATATATTTTCATGCCTATCAATTACATAAATTCAAACTCATTTACCTTGTACCTACTGTAACTGTTAGTATAATACCAACATTTTATTAAACTAATATTGGTAGACTTTTATATTTTTTTTAACAAAAACTGGAGTGCTCCAGGTTTTGATCCTGATGCTACTCTTTTTTTGGAACAATGTGTAATCTATTTACATGTATAATTTACGGACATTATGCCCTTAGTTCCCTTCATTTTGGCAAAGGTAACGCATATGTGTCCATGTATGTAGGTACAAACAGAACTAGTGCAGCATATTATTGAAAACCTGTAAAATCCCAATGACACTTTGCTTGACCTAGGATATAACACCACTAGTTTGGCAGTCGGGAGTCACACTTGTTTACACCCAGTTGTACCACTAGAGACACTAGACAAAGAGCAAAAACATAATATTTATGCATAATACTTGTATAGACAAGGTAAGATCTGTTGTGGACTCGTCTAACAACTTGATGATATAAATAATGAGGCAGAGGTCTTTGCCTATCATTACCGTCTCAGACATCTTCGTCTAACGTCGCTCACATTATGGCTTCTTATATATTACCTGTTTGTTTATTTATCGCTGCTTTAACTATTGTAGCTACGGCACCCGCTGATCAAACACCATTTGGTGAGTTTTGTAATACTGACACTTTAAAGATATTGCAATAATGTTTGTACTAATAACTTTGTTTTTTTGTTTAATGGTTTTTGTTAAATATTTGCATTGAATATATTGCATATTGTAAAGTTTTTGCATAATGCATACTATCTACTACAGTGTCTCGTTACGTGATAGGCTTATTAAGCATACAGTCATGAAATGTAATATGACAAACGAACCTATTAGTATTTATTAAACTTCTAGAGTTGTTTTATTAATAGTGTTTGTTTGTATTTATTGATGATGAATCACTAAACGGATAGATGACCTCACATTGCACAATACAGCACTATACATACATATATCAAGATTTGTTGTCATTTTCTTTTTTCAGATTGTCCCAAAAATGAACGTTACATCAAATGCGACTTAGAGGTGTGCTTCAAGACGTGTGATCATCTGAAGCATTTCCCTCCTTGTCCATCCATTGCTGCAGGATGCTTTCAACCAGCTTGTCTCTGTAAAGATGGTTACCTGAGAAATTCTGAAGGAAAATGTGTGCCCACTGATCAGTGTAGTTAAAATGTAAGTAAATAAAAATGACTTATTTATACCATCAACGAATTCAAATTCATCATCATCATCAACAGCCTATAAATGCCCACTGCTGAGCAAAGCCTCTTCTCACACGGAGAAGGTTAGAGCATTAATCACCACGCTTGCTCAATGCGGGTTGGCGATTTCAAACTTATAATTAGAAATTATAAGTCCAGGTTTCCTCACGATGTTTTTCCTTCTCCGTTTGTCAGTGGTGTCTAAATAATCTTAGAAAGTACATATAACTCGGAAAAAGTCACATTGGTACTTGCCGTTGGTAGGTTTCGAACCCGCACCCTCATGCATGAGAAGTGGGCGTCTTAAACCTCCGGGCCACCACGACATTTTGCGACATTCGAATTCAAATTAATTTATTCATTTACAAACATGTGAACATAATATACAGGATGGAATTTTGTAATGCTACCTGAAGGGAAAGTACTCTTAATACTTAAGACAGAAAAATTTACTCAAAGAACACATCTCTTTATTTTTGAAAAGAAACAAAACAACATTCAATTATTTTCATTAGTCGTAGTAATCGAACCGTTAAAATCGGTCAAAGTTTGCACCCTGTACTTCTATTGCATCGATCGTTCATTGTTTTCCTTTCATTAAATTTATGAATTTTGTTAGAGTCATCATTATTGACCCTAACAAGGGATGCAATAAATGTACATTGTGCAACTTAGACAGATTTTACTCGGTTCTATTACCGAGTGCGACAAGCGAATTTTAAAAATCTTTGAATACAACTTTCTTTGTTTTCAAAAATAAAGGAAATTTTTCTTTAAGTAAAACTTTCTATCTAAAATATTGAGAGTTCTTACTTCCCCTTCAGGTAGCATTACGAAATTCCACCCTGTATAGCTGTTAACAAAGTTTATAGTTACTTCATATTTGCCTTCACTTGGCATGCAGCAATGACGACAACAATGTCTGACACTTCACGGTTAGACTATAAACGTTTGCCACAACATCCACGCTTAGTTTGGAGATTACGGATTTTAGGAGAGCTTTTTATCTTCTATTTATGTTTAATTTTTGTTTTAGAAGCTGATTGATGGTCGAATGATTGCTGACTGACAGCTGAGAAATATATAATTTTCTTATTGATAAATAAATATGTATTAACTATTACATTTTGTTTCATTAAAAAGCTAATATAATTTGATCTCGTTAACATTTTGGAATGAACACCCTAGAGAGGTGGCTAATTTTAGTTACGTATGCAGTGGTAACTTTGTATATGAGTCTAAAAATTTCCCCAGTTTTAGACCTATATTTTTGACCGTCACATAGAAAGGACTGCCTCGTTGGCCGAGTGCGACTGCCGGGCAAGGGGTCTCGGGTTCGATTCCCGATTTAAAAATCTCAGTAGTAGCACGGAGTCTGGAAATGTACCCGTTATATGGCAATAGGCTCACCCCCTATTACATGGGACTCATAACATAAATAGTGAAAAGTGGGACTGGCATTAAGTGCCGAAATGTGCACCTCTGTCTACTCCTTCGGGGATAAAAAGGCGTGATGTTATGATGACATAGAAAGGAATTGCTAATTACTGTACTTGAATTCTAGTTGGTCATAGACGTAAGCATAGATTATGGCTTTTTAGATACCTAATTCATACCTTCGCAACTGATATTTTCATCAGTTCATATCAGTATCAGTTTATATATCATTTACAACTTGGTTCATTCGTAAATCGGGAAGAAGTATTTGGAGCGAGCTGCTCAAAGTACAGTAAATGACATACAAACCCCTACAAGATTTGAAAAGTATACAAGAATGGAAACTATAGCATAACATCATGGTGTTTTCCTGAAACTATTTGCATGGATTTATATTACAACTTACGTCATTCTTCTTTGGGCACCCATTTTCGTTCAGAATTTCTCAAAAGACCGTATTTACAGAGACGGGTAGGACTAGAGCATCTTGGCGCCAATGCAGGACAAGCTGGAGTATTTTCCAAATTATCACACTTCGTAATGCTGTACTCATATTCACATTTCGTATAAAATTCCTTCGCGGGACAATTTGAAATTAATTCGTAATTGTTAAAAGTTTTGTTGGATTATTAGGATATAAATACCTAAGATGATAAATACCCAATAGTAGAACAAAACAGAAAATGTCTCTACTTTCAGCTGTTTCCCCATTATTAGAAATAGACTATAAATAGCATAACAGGTAAAAATACGCATACCAAAGTCCAAGTTAGCCACCACATTGGGTAATAATGGTCGTGGTGTTATTTATAGTATGTGTGCTACGTCAGACCACTAATTGGTAAACAAAAATCTATTATATGCTGATAAATATACCTACATGAATGTATAAAAAGCTGTTTGACTATCATGGAATATCAATAAATATCATGGATTGCTCTCAATCATTCGATATTATATTTTAGACATACAATTCTTTAATTAAGGGTGTTCCACAGGGTTCAATTTTGGGTCCAATCCTACTATAACTTCAATCGCTTAAGACATCAAAACATAAACGTCATTACAAGTATTAGGAGAACAAAGTGGAAATCGTCTTTTCATTGTATTTTGCAGGCTGTGCTCATAGTAACAATTATTATACTAATGCTTAAACAAAATAATTAATGTTTGCATATTAAACAGGAAAATACACTTAATAGAACTGGCCTTGATGAACTTTTAATAGCTGCAATAATTCTAGTTTAAGAATAAATCATTTTAATACACAATATTATTGATAGGTATTTTATCGAAACAAAACATTTTAAATATAAATATTATAGAATATATAACAATATTAGGTGCCTAAAAATACTGTAAGTACCTACCTAAATATAAAATCCAAAAAGCCAATATATATTCGTCTGTACTTTGTTCCAAAATAATTTTCAGGTTAGACGACTATGATGCCATCCAATATTCATAAATCTATCCATTTAGTAATAGACTTACCTCAGACTTACTATATCATCTTGTGTTTTGATGTGTCACGACAATTTTACGGATCACGTACCACAAAAGAAAATGAAAATCAGAATTTATCAATTTTATCATAATTTATTCGCTCTCACCGGTGGCTCTATCTATAGTTCTTCATGCGTAAATATTCTAGCTTAACATTTTTAACACTTGATACAAATCTCTTCGGTATGGTAATAGCAGTGTGTTTTGGATTTGTAGCTTTTTTCATCTTTAGATTTTCCTAGATTCCTTTACCGACGAACTAAGTTTTTAAATGTAATTGTCAGACTTGTAAATACTTTTTTATTTAAAAACGATGATGTTACCCATTGATTCTAATAAATAGATAGTGAATTAAAAAATGGAACATTTCACCTAAACGTGTACTGAACTATACTTGTTTGATAATAAAGACTTGAATAAATATTTCAACGAATGCTCACCCATCAGAAAACACATACATAAATTTATAGAACTCTCACAACCATCTCTAAAACAAAAGCTCCATCAAAATATTCATAACAAAATCTATACATGTATAATGTATAATTTTTATGAAATACAAATAATATTTTTACGGCTTACACTCCACCTAACAAAACAATTGTATGGTAATGATAATATTTTGCACATCAACACCTCGGCATATTGAATGAGCCGGAAATGTTTGCACCAACTTTTTACACCTACATACGTATAAACAACGGTCCATTAGTGAAATGATATTCCTCTTAATGTGTCCATGAGGCGACAAATTGTAGCATATGGGACGTAGATGTATCAAAGGACTGGAAAAGACATAAAGTGTAGTCGTAAATCTAAAAGTATGGCGTTAAAACTATAATTTTCGTGGATATATTTTTCCTTTCATATTTTTGTTAGTGTTCTTTGTTTAACAGTATGGATATTTTTCCGTAGAGGTGTTAAAAGTTACTTTTTATAGGATAAGCCGGTAAAGTAGCAGACGGGTTACCTTATGGTAAGCAAGCGGTGCCGCCCATGGATACCCGAAACACTAGAGGTGTTACAAGTGCGTTACTGCCCTTTTGGGGATAAGAAATTTGAGGGTTCAGGGATTGGGGAGATTGGGGAGGAGAGTAAATGGGATTCCAGTAACCTCACTCATACGAAGAAACACAACGCAATTGTTGTTTTATGTCGGTTTTCTGTGAGGCCGTGGTATCACTCCGGTTGAGCCGGCCTATTCTTGCCGAAGCATGGCTCCACCACAGTTTATTAAAACTTGCTATCGTTAATTTTGCACATTCATCTTTTTAAACTAAAATAAATACCCATAATTACTGCTACTATTAAATTATAAACCTATACAAGGTGGAAGACTAACGGGTAACCAGGGCTCCGGCTCGACGTGCAGAAGAAGGAACGGGGTGGTTTTTAGACAGTAAGAGTCTGACACTCCCTCCCGCCTCACCCAGGCGGGAGCAGTCATTCGATGATTTCCCCCCCTTAAAAAAAATACAAGGTGGAAGAAATATGTAATTGCCAAAATCTTGTCCAAAGATTACGTTACACCAAATCCTCAGAATGTCCAAAAAGAAAAATAGATGTCATAATAATATTACCTACAGACGAAAATAAATGATCCTGTGCAGCCAGGATTATTACTGATCCTAGTTTGATATAACAATATCCACCGGAAATTATGAAGTAATCGGTCGGCAAACTCGGCAAACATTTTGTCTTGCCAAGATTGGAGAGCGGGGAAAAACATGAAAGAAAGTCAATATTATTTATTACGTTTATGCTTTGTTTTCCTAACGTCCCCAATAAATTGAAGGTACAAATACGTCCTTAATTCTTGTCGCTGGTTAGTATAAATGGTGGTATTTTACGAGAAAGATCTATTGACTATCATCATCATAACATCACGCCTTTTAGCCCCGAAGGGGTAGGCAGAGGTGCACATTATGCCACTGTACAATGTAATACCCACTTTTTACTATTTATGTTATGAGTTCCATGTAGGGTGAGCCTATTGCCATATACCGGATACAATTCCAGACTCTTGCTTCTATTGAGAATTTTTTTAAAACCCAGTATTACTTTGCCGAACCGGGAATCGAATCCGAGACCCCTTACCCGGCAGTCGCACTTGCGACCACTCGGCCAACGAGGCAATCTATTGATCATTTTTGATAAAATATGCTTTGTTTTTAAATTTTCTTTTTTGAAGCTGAGAATACGCTAAAATTACGTTCAGAAGTACTTTAAGATGAATTTAATATTTTCCCAACCGACACTTTAAAACGGTAAATAAATTAAAAAAAAAAACATTTAATCTTATTTTCTATTCTAAAATGATTAATACAATTCTTCTAAGCTCTTCTAGAGATATACAACACTGCATCATAACACTAATGGATTTTCCCGAAGAAATTTCAAAGTGATAACACAGTCTTCGACATCACTGGATCATCTTTAGGCAAGATTGCACCGTGCTCTTTACCATGTTTTCTCATGACCTTTTCACGTCTATCTGGATTTAGACTTTCAACGAGACAAGATTGTGTGTGTTAATGTTAGTATTTAAAATTGCAATATTTTACAACGCTACTTATTAAGTTGGAAACCATTTGGTAGTTACTCATGGCTAGCATCTTTTGGATGGATGGAAAAAATAGGACGCATTTTTTTTTAGGTGGGAAAATCATTGAATGACTTCTCCCGCCTGGTGAGACTTGAGTGTTAGACTCAAAACTACCTCATTCCTACTCCTGTACTTCGATCCGAGATAACAAGCATAAGTTGCTACCATATTTTTGGTACAACTTTAGAAAGTTTTGCTAAGCTGCCCAGTCTCCAAATGTCCAGTCCTTTGATCAACTCCATACCATCGCCCATCACAACACATACCATCACACACGGTAATTCGCGTATCCCAGCAAAATGCATAAACTTCATTAACATAATAATATTCAAATACATTATCATAAGAAAACAACATTACTTACCTACATTGTTCATGTTCATATTTATCCATAAACATTACACTATTTGCCTACAAACAATAAATACATACACAAGCATAAATGATTTAATAATACATACAAACCCACGTTTACTTATATCCACACTGAGTTGCTAAGCAGAACCTGTTGGTACGGACGGAGATCGAGACACGTCACTCTGAT